GTGAGTTTTTCTAAATATTTCCAATTCTGTTTCTTATATACCTATATATTTTAAAAATAAATATCTTTCACGAAAAATTTTAAATCAAATAAGAAAATAAGGGTTACTTCTGTTGGAACTCAAGGTGTAATACATTTCCGTATATCCGAAAAAAAAACTAGTTTCTTTACACGATTTCCCCTGAATAGTTTTACAATATTTTGAGACAAAACAGCACAGCACTGGGTTGTTCACACAAATGATGCGCGATTGTCGCCTATTTTACGATGAGGCAGAAGTAGAAATTCTTTCGCGTATGCGCACCGCTTTCTTGTCCCGTCTTCTAAGCGGTAATGAATAGTTACGACCATTATCGTTTACCTACACGAAAACTTTAATAACTTGATATTACATTGAAATACACTGATAATGGTTATTAGACATGAGAACCAAAAGTAATAGGAATAAAAAGGAAAAAAAACGATCAAAAAACAACTCTAAATAACTTTTTTTCTTGAAAATAATAAAAATACAATTAAAAAACAAGAAACTAATTCTTTTATATTGTAATGAATAATTTACAAACTAATATAATGATAATACTTGATCCTTATAAGTAAAATTAGTGCAAACGTCAATTTTTGGGCTTGAACCCGCTATACAAAGTGTCTTTTGGGGGTTTTCTTGATGAATAGCACTATATACTGTCACACATGAAACAGGAATTTCAGCTGCAATATTCCCATTTACACTCATGTTATAAAAATAATTAGATCTGCCACCAGCAAATACTTTGTCTTCATAAAGTTCTGCTACATGAATTCCACTGTCTTCAAGTGGAAATATCATTGAGTTATTTAAGGATTTTAAATGCCACAAAGAAAGCCTTGGTCCTCCCCCACACAACTAAAAATATTTTTTAAATTAATAACGGTTTATTTTTACATTATTTTTTATAACTAAACTCATAGGTACTCATGTGAATAATTCATTATAAACCTTTCTATTACTTTTCAATGGTTTTTAAATATATTTAAATGAAATGCAAATTAATTCAAAGGATATACATTTAACTATTTATTCCTTCTTAGAATTCACTTACTATCCAATCGTCACTTAATGATACAGCTCCAATCCACTTTCCCAGATCATTCCTTGCAATGTTATCTCTTTTCCATGGTTCTACCTTACATGCAACATCTTTTTCTCTTAAATCCCATACATTAACTAAACCATCTTCACCTCCAGAAACCAATTCGTTTTCTCTAAAAGTTAGAAAATATACACACATATTTATGTACTTTGTTCTCTTAAGCTTACAGTTTATAGATATCATGAATATAATCTGAATGTCCTTTGAGTGTTCTCACAATTGCACTAGATTCAATGTTAACACAATAAATGTTGTTATCATCACATCCGACATAAATTAGTCCAGGGTCTTTACTTAAAACCATACAATTGATGTCAATTTTTTCAAAGTTGCTCTGTACTTTAGGTAGTTCAATTTTCCATGATATTTTGGCCTCTTTTCCATTTTTAATATTTTTCCAATCATAACCAATAATACCTACTGAAGTTCCCACAACAAGATACTGTTCAGTTGTTAATAGACTATTTATATGAAGATTGTTTTCAATTGTGAAAGTATGCTTGGGTGTCTGATCAAATTTTGTCAAGTTTCCTTCTGGATTTAGGATTTTGGATAAACTGTAATTTTTTGTATGATTAAGTATGTTGGAAATCATTACACTGTTTTCAAACTCACTAGAAAACTGAAATTTGACCGTAAATATCCCCTGCAACTAAATAATTTCCACGAGGACAAAAAGTTAAGCTAAGAATTGTGTTATAGAAATTTTTATTAACCATTTTTTGATTTAATTTACGTACTACTTTTAAATTATCAAATGTAAACAAATAAGTAAACTTGTTTAGGTTATGTGTTACTGTTAGTGCGGTTAGGTACGTATGTTTCATAGATGCTATCATGGATTGTATAAAACATCAATGGTTAAGATGTATATTCGCCTAAAGAGAAAATGAAGCATCGTTTAAACTACTAGGTATTTTTTTTGAATGAAAATACAAGTTTATCTCCACTTTTTATTAAATAAAAATCTGGAAACATTGCTTAATAACTAGCAGTAAAGCTTTAGTTTGTTTATGTATTCAATTCTTTTGAAAGATGTTTAATTTTGAACAAGAATTCATTACAAAAACAGTAAGCATGTTTAATACCAATACAATATAAAGCCTTGATTACGTAAAAGTAATTCTTTTGAATATTAGACTCATTCGGGTACCATTTCGTGTGTAACTTCTTGGTAACGCATGGTGCCATTGTTTGTAGTGCAATGGATTCATAAGAATGAGGCTTCCATGTTGGAGAACGATTTTAACTGGAAAACATATCAAACTTATTCAAGTGAACTTTTCTTGTTTCGTATTATTTGTTAATTTTATAGGAAATTATAGGACAATAATTAGATTTAGTTCGAATAAAGTAAACGTACAGTAAAATGTTTACCGTCTCTACCTTGGTTTAAATTATTTGCAGAAAAGTCGAATGATTTATGTCGAAGTAAGAATTCTCTTGTTCCACCCAACGAAAGTATGGCAAAAGGAACAGATAAACTTTGCATGTCTTCCTCTTCAGTGTACTCATTTAAATGGTCAATTCCGTTTTTATACCTATTACAATCAAACGTTTTGTAATGCACCTGATTAAATGAAATTTACAAGAATCTCCAGCACAAATAGTTTTGCACATACTTTGTTTTTGTACTGTTTATGCAAAGTGGAATAAGTGTCATACTTTTTAATAACTACACAGTTGTATCTATATTTAGTTATTCTTTCGAGCAAATTTCTGGTTAATTCTAAAGCAGGTATCCAAGGCATAGCAGGGAGCGGACTTTCTGTAAAATCATATCGTATTGATCTATTTGTACACACAATTCGTTTTTTTGGTCGGGGAATATATTCATCTATCGATTCCTACAAATACGAAGACACGCAATTGTAAATACTTCACATTGTTTCATGTTCCCCTTTTTGGTACTAGTTTTATACGAACCAGTACCATTATTACCTTACCTCCTTGATTGTTTTTAAACATGACTTTCTCGGTCTCTCATCTTTAGGAGCCAATTCTAATTTACGCTTTATTTTCTTAAGCTTGCACTTCTTAAGTTGTCGGTAAAGTTCGTCTGCTATTGGTTTAGAAAAGAGTTTGGTGTAAGTAAAATCCAACTTGTTCCTATCATCTGATTTATTCCAAACTAACTCTTTAGGTTTCATACTGTCAAATGCACTTTTCAGGTCTAATGTTGCTTCCATTTTTTACAACGTTCTAATTTAAAAATTAAAGACATAACAATATTTCTTTAATTACGAATTATTCTACTCCTCCCGAAAATAACACAAGCTTACCCCGAAAATGACATTGTCAAATCTATTGTTTACAATATTTCATTTGAACCTTTATTTTATTACGTACTGAAATTTTATTAATACATTAAGTAATTACAAAATATTTCTGATTTTTCTAAACGTTAAATTAATTCTTTCCCCAGGAACTTTTTTACGTTGAGGTAGTGAGTGATACCAGAATTTATTTGTAGGATAATTCATTAGAAGTAAACTTCCATGTTCCAAACATAATTTAACTGTAATAAATAATGTAATTAATTTTCAGTAAGCTTCCACGATTTAATCCGATTTACCTGTAGGTAAAGAAGAAGATCCCAATTTCCTTTTTCTACTATTCTCATGTCTTAGTACAAAATCCCTGTGTTGTCCTAAAGATAATGATGCTATAGGGGTGTGAATATCCAATTCTGCTTCATCATCTTTGTGTTCCCCTATGTAATCAAGACCGTTACGATATCTGCAAAATTTTGTAATTTTACGGTTAACTGATACGTTTATTTTGCTCTCATCAACCTGTTTATGAGAACAAAATTGTATCTATATCCTGTTATTTTTTCTATTAAATTCCTTGTGTTTTCAAGTGGCTCAATCCAGGGCTTAGGATAAACAGTTATTCCTGAATATTTATATTTCAAACCGTCATCACCATATGCACTTTGCTCTCTCGGAATTTGGTGCCATTTACCAAACACTTTTACCTAAGTTAATAACAAATTTTAACTATTTTAATTAAATAAATTNGAATTATAATTTTATTGTTTTTATGTCGGGTCCTCAGGTGTGGCCGTATAGTTTGAAATTTGGGACAACTGCGCAATAAATACAAAACAAAATGGTTAAAGCAATTAACATATTCGGAATTTTAAATATTTTTTCTCGCGGGTGTTTTCTTTCAAGTATCATAATGTTCGGTGATTGCGGGCGGCGGTGGCGGTGGATCTTTTGGATCCCACGCCGAAGGGGCGTTCGGATCTGTAATCAAATGCGCTAAGGAGGGGCACACGGTGGGAAAAGGCAGCCGTACAGACGAAGTCCGGGACCGTGATATTGGGGCCCTCGTCTATACACGCACGTATTTATACATGTAGTTAAGGTAACCCGTTGCAATTTCAGGCAATTTTGTTCGCAAAAGTACCGACAGCTAAAGTTATACTGGCGATCATTGTTGTAGTAATAATAAAAATCGTGCAAACGCAGTGGTAATTTTTGTGTCGAAAGATTTTGGGTTATAGGGCAATGCACGTAACGTCCATGGGATATACAACAATAAAGTACCACATTATCTAAATAAGCATCTTAATAAAAGGGAACAATCTTTTACATCTCCTTAACGGCGTTTATTAAATCCAGCGGCGTAGTGATGAGTATATGGTGTTTAAAAATAGCCTTGTAGTTGTAAACTGTGTTAAAACTTGTAGCTAAAACCACATTTGAAATATATTACGGCCAGATTATATGTGTATAATTTGTGAGAAGGGGACCGCGTCTACAGAATCCATTTTTTCTGAATTTATCTCCGTATGATCCAGTTTATTGTTTGCTTTATTTACTTCGTAAAGGATAAATTGAGCAATGAATACTTTGGAAACATAATATGTACTAATTCCTATATAAAATTAATATTTTCGAAGAAGCAAATTGATATAATACATAATGGGGTGCATTCAGTCGTTTTTATTTCTTGTTATAAGTGTAAAAACTAAATTCATAAATGATTATAAAATTTCCGATACCACAGTTAGAACAAGATCGTTGTGGTCTCTGTCTTCGTTAATAAATATGATGATGATTCGTGAAAGCATTTTCAGTACTAAATATTCAATATCAGGAAAACTAAATAATTTTTACTCTAATCATCGTTTCTTTCTTCAACTTATATGGCTTAGTAAGACGAAACAATATCAAATGGTGTCTTAATAAAAATTTTTGAAAGTTTTTGTACATACGGAATTTAATGTAGTTTCCACTAAAGATGTCATTCGTAGTTACTGACGAAACGACTGATTCTAAGTTTTAATCGTTCATTTCGATTACAACTCATCACCCCAATTCTTAATTTTACTATGAATTCCAGTTTGCTTAAAAATTGAACTCGTCAATTTTGTTCTTTTAAATAAATATTCATAAATACATACCTACATATTTTGTGAAATTTACGTTTGTTGCTTTATGCAGTCAGAGAGATAAAACACCTTCATATTTCTTTTAATTCATACTGTTATAATAATTAATTCAAGGGATAGTTTCTAAACGAATTTTAAAAATGCGACAGGTTTTTTTATGGAGCGCGCCCCTGACTACATGATTAGTCAATATTGTAGATTTCTGACAAGAACACAAAAGAATAAGATAAGAGGATTATAATTTTTTCTACTTTATCACACGAATTTTATTTTACAATTATGCATTTTTTGTACTCATTATTTCTTTTTTTTTACTCATATCTGCTTTTTTACACATAGTACACATTTTCTTATTACTTCAACATAATTTCTCTTCACTCTTTTGAATTTTGAAGCAAAGTCGACATTTAACTTTGATAGCTATTATCTTTTTTCGTAAAATTAATCTCATTTTGCTAAAAGCATCGAGATTGAAATGGTCTTATTTTTATCAGGTTTTTTCAACTATCAACTAATTTTCGACATTTATGTGCCTTAAAACTTTTAATTATTTTGATTCTTATTAACAATCATCCGTCCTTGCTATGTATAGAATTTTTTTAAATGCAATGGATATTTTAAATTAACTTGCTCTTAGTTTCATATGTTCTTTTTTGTCACAAGGGCATCCCTTGACATGTAACTTTCAATTTGTATTCATTTTAATCCTTTACGATAGATTTACAGGATCAATTAATTCTCGTTTTTTTATATGTTTTAATTATTAAACGTATGCAGATCATTATAATTAATCAAATTAATCATTATCTCTAATCATTATTATAGATCTCTATTGGTCCCTCCTTACTGCGGTCTGTTTCTAGATTTTACACTATTCATTTATGCCCATAGTCCAAATGCATCATTGAAAATTTTTTTTGTTCTTTTTGATCAAATTATGTTATTGTACCTAGCTCCTTTAACTTTATAGCAAAAAATTACGTAAAATGTTCTTGTACTTTATTTTCAACATTATTTCTGTGAGTATATCACATTTTGACCAGTGACTGTTTTTTCTACTGAAATTAACGTTGTCGGTATAGTTTGGATAATTAAAATTGCTCGTAAAGAAACATTTAGAAATTCTTGGCTTTTCTCACAGACAGAGGGGTCGAAATTGCTCACGCTCGTCACGCCCCTTGCACGCACTTAAGCCGAGACATGAAGATTGAGATTTTTACACCCACGACCGAGATCAACTATATACGCGGGACAGACGGTGCAATTGGAATTCCGTTGAATTCACTTAATGACCTTCTTAAATAGATAGGTACGCTAGAATTTTTGTTTTCATTGTCAATAAAAGTACTTTGGGACATGTTGTATAGCAATATAGCAAAACATATCTAAGAATCATAATAAACGATGTTTGGCAGGGCAGTTGATATAATAAAATTCAGACAAAAATATAAAAAAAAAAGAAATAAAAGTTCGTGTTATTTTGATGAGAAAAGCATCATAATCCGAAATGCCTTTTCTTTTGCGTAATTTAATGTTCGGTCGCGCCCTTATCATTCAAGGGACGCTGGGCTAAAGAATATAACTTAGCAAAAAACAGGCACCCAGATACATATTGTAGTAGCTTATTTATCTTTTGGTAATTAGATATAATTAATTATCTTAAGTTAAATAAATCTGAAAATATATTATAAAAAGTGAAACGTGCAGTATATTTCTGCCTTTTTAACTTATTAGAATAGAATAATTATACAATCATGCGATTATTTATTATTTCTTTT